GGGGGGGGGGGGGGGGGGGGGGGGGTGTACTCATAGTCGTGCATGCCGTAGTCGTTTGACCATTGACCTCGCATCCCTACTAAGCCGGGACGGAGCACGCCGGGTTCTCACCGGACCAGGCTCTCACATCACCAAGCGCGAAGCGCCGTGAGGTATTTGGCGAGTCGCATGAAGGGTGAGCTGCATCCTGCTAAGGGTGTTCGGCATCTTGTGCTTACTTCTTGCGTACGGATGACAGCTACGTATGACTTAATTTATTTTCTGGTGCTTTCACTTCCAGAGACAGTAGTAAGCACTGTGTAACTGCCTCGAGGAAGCTTGACCATTTTAACACAACGTGGTGCGATCATCCCCCGTTGCGCGGAGTGAGGTTTCTCGACCCCGCACAACATGATCTACTCGACCACCATTATGGTTACCGCCAAAAAAAAAAAAGAGGTAAAAAAAAAAAAAACGGTAACCTGGTTGCCGAGTTCACGAAGTGAATTGGCTTGTTTTACAACGTCGTTGCCAAGCGACGAAAACCCAATCCCGATGGCAAACACCGAGTGGGGGGCTTGTTTTACAACGTCGTTGCCAAGCGACGAAAACCCAAACCCCGATGGCAAACACCGGGGGGGGCGGCTTGTTTTACAACGTCGTTGCCAAGCGACGAAAACCCAAACCCCGATGGCAAACACCGGGGGGGGGGGGGGGGGGGGGGGGCTTACTCATTTGTTGCTTGCCGTAGTCATTTGACCATTGACCACGCGTCCCTTTCGAGACGGAGCACCGGAGTATTGAGCATTGACCACGGGTCCTCAAGAGCACGGAGTATTGTTCCCACAGAACCGATCACCGATGGCCGATCGTTCTATCCTAAATTGCCAAAGGTGGCTCAGAAATGCTTTCCTAGACCTTCATCATGGTGTATCCTTCTGAGATGGGATCAAAGGTGGGTTTTGCTGTGGCTGTGTACAGTAGCAGTGCAGGTTCAGTGTTGTCATCATGTTTCACAACTTGTCCTCCCCATCCTTAGCCATTGCTCTTTACAAATTTCATGTGCTATTGGAAGCTTGACGTCTGCGGGGGGGGGGCGTGTTGCAGTCGTTTCACAGCAGCGCAGCTTGAGTGTTTTCGCCATGTTTCACGTTTCACACACATCGTCCCCATCCATAACCAGGTGCCGCTTGTTGCCTCGTGTGTGCTGCTGCGCCGTGCCATGCGGCCCTTGCAGGAGCCGACAACTATCCCGAGGACCCAGATGCTGGTGCTGGGGATGACCTCCATGGGTTCCACCTTTACATCCGTCCGGTCGCTGCGATACGTCATCTATCCCGTACAGGTGGGGCGGGCTATGCATACATTATACCAGAAAGAATTGTGACGGCTGTGCAACTGATAGTGTACTACAAGGCGCGCCTCCGGAGTGGGCTCACCAGAGCATGTAGTAGTAGTAGTAGTCAAGGCGTGACGCAAGACGAAGGTGGAAGCATGTGTTGGTGTAAATCATCAGCTGCCAGCTGCCGTCAGTGACGTTTCCCAAGCTCGAGCAGCTCACACAGCTAATTTGTTTTTTGACTCGAAGAGCCCAGCGAACCTCAACGAACACAAATAAACATTACCAAATGTGTATTTAGAGCAGTCTTGCTGCCTCTGAACCGTCGCGAAGACTCCAAAGCGGGATAACAAAAGTGTTGGCAGTAGTATATAGCAGATAGGTGAAAATGAGTAGTTCTTGACCGGACTGCTGTTGAAGGCTTGGCTAACGGGGAGCAGAGGAGTCGCTTTCTTCCCCACCTTCCGCGTCCGCACCTCTTGTCGCAACGGCAGCCTTTCTCGGAGGTTGGGGTACTCAATCCGCTCTCTCTACTACATGAGCCCAAGGCGTTCCAGGGCCGTATGTATGTGAATACTCACATCCCCCCCCCCCCCTGGGCCGGCAAAACCCGGCATATGGCTCCGTCCCGGCATTTCAGGGATGCGAGGTCGATGTTCTTACGACTACGGCAATCGTTTTTCATCAGTACACCCCCCACCGTTATCTACCCATTCCTTTACGTCCCCTCCAGGTACTCGGCAAGAGCTGCAAACCCATCCCCGTGATGCTCATGGGCGCCTTCCTGGGAAAGAAATACCCGCTCAAGAAGTACCTCAACGTCGCGCTGATCGTGGCGGGTGTCGCCCTCTTTATGCAGTCGGGGTCGGGAGCGGGGAAGCCGGGGGGGAGCAGCGGAGGGCAGGTACAGAAGGCTAGGACGGGACGGGGCGTAGCGGCAGTTGTACTTTGTCGATTTTGCTGCTGCTGCTGCTGCTGCTGCTGCTGCTGCTGCTGCTGCTGCTGCTGCTGCTGCTGCTGCTGCTATTTTTATGAGAAGTGTTTGGTGGAGCTGTTGTTTCTTCAACGCTCTTGTTGTGCGTCGGTGTGACTTCTACCGCCTCCGTTCGCTCTGTCCCTGAAGGCCCACACAGCAATTGGGTTCTGGATGGTTGTGCTTGTTTTTGATCCTGGCTTATGTCTTCCGTTTTGATCCTGGCTGATGTCTTCCGTTCGCTTGCTGCACCTAGAGAGGTGTCTCGCGTCCCGGCCCCTAGGCTATGCCCCTTGCCTCATGGTGGAGCTCGCCCGTTACCTTGCTTGCTTAACCCTTTCCCGAACCCATCCCACCGCAAACGCCCCCTCCTCCTCTCCTGTGTTCATCGGGCCGCGCCTTGGTCGCTCCCTCTCCCTTTTTCCCTCGCTCTCCCTCCCTTTCTCTCTCTCTCTCTCTCTCTCTCTCTCTCTCTCTGTGCCTCCCTCTAGCTGTTCGGGTTGACGCTGTTGTTCATGTCCCTTTGCTTCGACGGTGGCACCGGCGCATACGAGGACAAGCTCATGAACAAGCACCACGTCGGCCCGTTCGACCTCATGTTCAACATTCAGTTCGCCAAGATGCTGCTTGCAGGCCTGGGGCTCGTGGTCACGGGCCAGATCACGGGGTTCTTCAACGTGAGTGGCGTTTACCCTTGCGGAGTGGGGGCTCTCGTGGCGCACGGAACGCTCCACTTCACGGTCCCCTCCGTTTTTTTTTTCTTGGTTCTGGCTTCACCTTATGTCTCTCCCTGTGTGTTAGTGTTGCCTGAACCTCCTGCCTGCTGAGTTCAGTGGCATTTTCTTTTTGCTCCCTTCGTGCTGCCGCTAGCGTTGGCTCGACGCTCCCTCGAACCACACGACTGCTGTGTGCTCGCTCGCCCGCGCTGATGATGGCAACTGGTTGCTGTTGCTAAAACCTCCTTTGGACCGCAGATGGTACACTCTACGGGACCGGTGCTGCTGTTGCTGGGTCTGTCCGGGGCGATGGGGCAGGTCTTCATCTTCGTCACGATTTCCAAGTTCGGGGCGCTCACGTGCTCCATCATCGGTGCGTGCTAGCTTGGTTTGTATTTCAGGCGGGTGGCGGGGGGAGGGTTACTCATGTACTTGAACGCATGCTGCTCGGCGGGTAGGGGGGGGGGGGAGAGGGGTACTATTCTGTTTTGCATGCCTTGGCGGTTAGACCATTGACCACGCGTCCTCGCGAGGACGGAGCATTGGTGGGGGGTGGGAGGTGGGGGAATCTGTGGTGTTGAAAGTTTCCTCTCGAGCCCAAGACCTGGGGAGAGGGGTTGGGCACGGTAGCGTTGAGTACGCGCTGGCGCGTACACATCTCGTCATTTCCCATCCCTATGTCTAAGAACCAAAATAGGTTATTGGTACGGTGGGGTTGGTTAGGCACCTTTGCTTTAGTGTAGGGAGCAGTGTTGTGGCACAGGTTTGCAAGATATAAAAAGAGGCGAAGGTGCTGACGGCCGCATGTTTGTGTTGATGCTGGCTACGAAATCAAGTCAGGGCAAAATTGGGTGAACAAAAACATGCTACTTCTTTTAATCATTACGCCATGGCATCCCTCTCCCCTACCTCCCACGGCTCCCCGACACGTGCGTGTGGCCCATCCCTGCAGGATTGGCGCGGAAAATCGTGACCTTGTTGGCGTCTATTTTGATCTACGGCCACAAGGTAAACTTGATGCAGTTCGTCGGGCTGGCCATCGCCGTCGGCGCGATGGTTTTCAACTTCCTCGACAAGGGGAAGAAGAAGGGAGGTGAGCGAAAATAAACGGCGAAAAGGACGAACTTGCAGTTTTCGAAGTTTAGTGCCCGTTGCACCAGTGCCGGCTACGTGTGATGTAAGAGAGGGTGTGACAACGCCGAATTCGCTATTTAGCTTATGTCCGGCCTTCTACTGTTCCGTTTTAGCGGAAAAGTCTCTTGTATCGTATACAAATAACCTTGCCTACAGGAGGTGGGAGTGGGGCGACGGGGAGAGGGAGAGGCTCGAGGAGAGTAAAGAGCTCTTAGCCACCACAGTTGTTAGCGGAGATCGAAGTTTCAAATACAGCGGTGCTCGTGCTCAGTTGCTGGGTCGGCGATCCGAAGTCCTTCCGAATTCTACACATAGGTTGTGCCCGCCTTCCCTTCGACCACGAACAAAAAGGGGTTTTCTTGTGCAGCAAGATGTGCATGCGGCATCGGAAACAAGTACCTACCCACCCTGACGATTTCTCTTCCGCGTCCACCTCGCTTCACGCGTTGTTTGTTGTGACCCTGGGCGTGCTTTGCCGCGAAGGAGGGGGGCACGGGCATGGTGGAAGGTCACATCCTTCCGAGGACACGGAGGCCTCTAAGGTAAATTACAAGCGGTCGACTGCGGACGTAGACCCAATTTGTTGAATGGACGGCACCCCCCCCAGCTCCGCAATGTGTATGGTGGCACAGAGCCCCCTTCCTCCCCCCCCAACGATACAGCCTCTGATAGGTTTTAGGCACGGCACCTCCTGCTGCCTTTATGTTGCCCAAACCACAATATTGTAACCACACTTTTGCTGTCATGATTCGCATCCAAAACGCCATGATTCGCAGTTGCAGGAGGTGCGGCAGGAAATAACCTGGAGGTTTTCGTAAGCCGTAGTATGGCGCCAACAGGAATATGGCACACGAAGTCTATCGCAACACTTTCACTCCTCAGAACCTGGGACCAAAAGCGTTCGGGAATGAAAGAGTGTCCACCCCCGAAAGGAGGGGAGAGGGGAGGGAGTGCTGAACTCTCAGCGATAACCTACCACGCGTAGAACCAGCGGGGAGGGGGCGGGGGGAGATGTGCCCGGTGGAGGCAGTATTTATCCTTGCAGCCTTTGTGCCACTCTTGGCAGTATCAGACGTTCCGGGAAGACGGATAGGGCTGCTTCTGCCGGTTCCGTGTGAACCATGTTGCGTACGTCTCTTGGAGATATGTTTCGCACCGCAGCTGGCATGTCAACTGTGGGTTGATTTCATCTTGCATGACTCCTTGATGACACCGCCGTGCTCTCATGAGAGCCCATTCCGGAGGAATCACTTCAAGTATATTTTCAACATTTCTCTGTCTTCTGCGACGGACGCTTGCGCTTTTTTTTTTAACCACACACGCCACGCAGCCGGTGGAACTGCAGTCCTTGCTAGAGCACGAGGACGAGGGGGCCTCCGACGAGGAGGAAGGGGGTACTACTGCTACTACCACTACCGCGAGCACCGGCGCGAAGCCCCCGGAGCCAGCCTCGAGGACGGCGAAGGCGGCAACGGCGGCGCCGCCAAGGCGTGTGATCGTCACGCAGGGTGCCGCGTCGAAGAGTAACGTGGTGACCGCGTCCGTTTGAGGTGGTGGCCGGCCGGCCGGTCCCTACGAAGGAAATCGCTGCCTGGCTTTTGGGGGCACTGCTCGGTCGGACCGTCCGTCTTGGGAGGGGGAGCTGCAATTGGAGTTCCATGTGATATAAGGCGTGCAACAAGTGTAGGGCCAGGGATCAAGGCGGTTTCATGTTGTGGAGTGGTGGGTGCGGTTGAGAGCGTGTGGCTGTGTTACGATGATCCAATCGCAGGGTTTGTTTTTGGGCTTGGATTAAGGCTTGTCGGGGCTGTGTGGTGTTCATGAATAGCAGGTGTACGGGGAAAGTATTCCGGGTTCTGGGCGTTGTTTTGGATGTTCTCATATGTAATTTATATACGCACGCCGAGAATAAGCAAACTCTTGTGTACACACATGCATCCCTCGCTCCTACTGTTACATGCAGCACCTCGCAGCTCAATTTGGTGAAAACAATCACACCAAAACACCTACCCTGTATCCACCTCACAGCACGACACGTGTTCACCTACTGCTGTACACGTGTTCACCTACTGCTGTACGCGGTCGATCATTTCCGTAGCTAACGGGTGCGCATTGAAGACGTGGCCGCGCTGCTGTAGCGCTCTCAGTCAAATGCCGAGAGCAAGAGCAACGTGGGCACGGTCCACGATTCGACGGGTACTGCATGTATGACTCATCCGCAATCCTTTTGTTGCTTGCAATGTTGTGGAGCTCTCTCTCCGCTATCCAAGAAGCGTCGTCTTGATCGATCTGCTGGCCCGTGCGTCTCTAACCCCAGCTGTCGTGCAGTCAGTCCCCCTTTGATATCGTTGGAACGACGCGAACGTTTTTATTTAGTGGGATATGTTGGGATATGGTGTGGCACGTGTTCTGTAACCGTTTTTTCAAATGCGTTTGTGTTTGGTCCTTGCCCGTGAAGCTGACCCCTGCGGTGCGTCAGTCATATGCATACCACGTTGCCGTCGAGGGCATGTCGAATCGACCGAGCGAGCAGATGATCACACAAAGAATGATGCTTGACCGCTCGGATCCGTTTTGTTTGCACCAGCTCGATTCCTCCTCTCCAACTGGTGTCTTATCTCTCCAACCCTGCTACCCTTAGCCGTGTGTTGTTGTTGTCCTCCCTGTTTCTTGTGACCGTTCGGCGATAGTCTCGTTGGTTGGCGAGAGGAAACACGACTTGTTTGTGTTCCAGCAGGTGAATGTTGGTAGCGCAAATGAAAGCCATGCACCACTGAAGACTAAACCGACACGGGGGAGATCTGAAGATGAGGACCTGACCGAACCCGTTCGAGATTACCGAATCGATCGCCGATTTGATTATTCGTGCACACGTCGAAAACACGACTTTCATTCTTCGATTCTTCCTACAGTAGTACTACGAAAAGACCACGACATCCCCACCCTTCTCTTGGGGTTTTTTGTTGTGGTCAAAATCCGTTGCCAGCATCTCGAACAGGGTGGTTCCATCCTGGAACGAGGCCTTAGCGAGAGAAAATATTGACTTTGGTTACTCGGGTTTTCATACCATGCGGTGGCACTTTCTCCATGATAGGTCCTTCCACATTTCGACCCGGCGCGCCTCCTACCAAGGGTTTTGGCCAATTCTGAGTTTTACTCAATGCGGTTTTGAGACAGCGTGCCATTTTTTTTTCTTTTTTTTCTTCTTAATATGACACAACGAATCCATCTCTATCATAGAAAAGAGTCAGAGACAGAGTAGCAATGAATTCATAGGGTCAGAAGAAGCTACCTGTATGTCTGCGATTTCCCAGACAGCATATAGGGCATCTCCCCTGCGGGTAACAGGCTCAACAAAACAGTTTGGTAGCTGTCTCATACATTTTATGTTGGGAAGGTGCAGCAGAAAGGTGTTGTTTCTATGGGTGGTCCACGGCTGTTCACGAAGAACATCCCCCACCTCCGTCTACATGCATGCGTCAGCACGTCCCTATCTTGAGGCGCTTGACATTTCTACGACGTAAAAACCTTGCAACATATCCCATGGCATAGAGGGCAAGCATGGCCCGCATCGACGTTGTTAGAATCTGCAGACAAAGGACTGCTGCAAGCAACGGGGTGTCATGTTTTCGATCCTTGACAATGACAGGGTTACTACCGCATGCCTCCACCCACGCCCCCGCTAAGGAAGGGACCTCGCGAGTCGGTGTCACAAACATACCGGCGATTGAAGATAAAAACAAGTGTGTTCAAGGACCCACGGCTCGTGTCCAAATGTTGTCGATAGCTACCAGGATTCGTGTTTTGAGATGTTGCAGGGGAGCAGAATGGATACGAAAGCCCGCACTTCCATCAGGCTCACCTAACGAAAGGCGAGGTGGGGGGATCACCCATTCATTGTAATCTCCTAGTCCCTGATCTCTCGCAGAACCGCCAAGTATGGTCGAGATCAGATGGATCGATCGGGCGATCCCCGATCTGTAAGACGGTTCCAGAGGTACGTGTGTAGCCTTGAAATACCCAGAAATTCCCAGGGAAGAGTAACGAATAATAGTACGCAACGTGCAATGCAACAAAACTTGAGGACCGCCATGCAATGGGAGCAGCGGGGGCGAAAGGCACGCACCCAATTAGGTGGCAAAAACAGATGGAATAGATTCTTAGAGTGCGTGTGTATGGGAGGTGCCATCAACAACAAAGTACACACGGGAGTGCTCCCTCCTCCTTGGCGAGAACTGAACATGCAAGTAGCGTCGTGTTTAATTCGACGTTCGCGCTCAACGCTGTGCTCTGGGAGAGAGCAAACGGCGTCGCAGAAAAACCATGCACATATGACACGGAAAAGGCGAGAGGATTTCGCCCCCTCTCCCCCACACTCCCGGGCCCTCTCTCGTTTCCACCACGCCCCGATTGTCGTACTGTAGGTAAGCTCGAGCGCGCTCTGGCCCCGGGGCACAGGAAAAGGCGCTAACGGTCGTCGCACCGTAAACACAAAACTGTTTACATTTATTCCAAAAACTTGGCGAAAGCCTACAACAACAAGACGCGCCACTCGCATCACGCCGACGATACTGAACCGTCGCGTATTTCTATCGCACGCTAGTCAAGCAAGTCTACACCACACGCCCCCCCCCCGCGAACATGCTGATGTAAAGCACCTCAAATGTATGGTACTTGCCACCATGAGCGACCGACGTATGCAATGTCGACAATACACTACGGAACCCATTTCCGGCTTGCGACGGCGATGTATGTCATGGGAGCATCGCGATGACGCAGGTGAGTGAGTTGAGGACGATCAGCGGGCCGCGGAGATACGCCACCGCCGCGATCAAGCCCACCACCTGGTTCTTCATCGCCGAGGCCGACGGCGAGTGGTCCACCTCGTCGAGCCGATCTGCGAGGTCACGTTCGTTGAGCGCGGGGGGTTCGTGTCTGTCGCGCGAAGGACTGACCTACTGTAGCCCTCACACAACCCCGTAACCCATGCTAAAACCAAGTGAAATATCCTCGCTAAGGTTAGTGGGCTGATGGGGGGATAGACTACAAACTATTGGCGCGGTGTACGCACATGGGCGTCAAAAGCGACGAGAAGGGGGAGAGAAATCTGTCTCTTGCTGCTTGTTAAGGCTATGCAAACGCGGCAAAATATGAAGGGTGAGGGAGAGTGCCCCGGGGTGGGTGGGGGGGTGCGGACGCTCAAGGGCTTACGCGAGGGAGCAGCGAGAAGCTGCGGGAGCAGACAGGTGTAACTCTCGGTGTTGCGGGTTCCAACGTTCCAACAGGGTAACTGGTGGCGCGGTTCAAAAGGGTAGCTCATCATGTAGGCCAGCGTGCTGCGCGTTTCTCACCAACCCGGTTCTCAACGTACACAAGTCTCCTAGATAGTGCAGCTGTAGCAGATTGATTGTCCAAGAGGACGCCGAGGGTCTAAACTACATAATAACCTTCCCTGCTGTGCTGCAGCTCAGCTTTCGAAGTCCACATTGTCCAAAATCGATGATGATAAAAGACGACAACATCATAGAACCTGAAAAGATGCAGGTCAGAAAGCTCAGCACGGTGCTCAAAGCATAAAAAAAAGAAACATCGTCCCGTCGACCTCTACACATAGCAGCAGTACTGCTGTATCGTCGTTGTACAAGCGACTCGAGCTGCAGTTGTTGCATCCACGGCCGTGTTCGACGTCAACTGGCCTTCCGTACCCACCAGGCTATTTTAGGATGATGTAGCCTGATTCCTATCGGGTAGGTGGGTTCCTTCCTCTCTAGTTATCGCAAAGTCGTGCTTTGTTGAGCTCTGTGTGGACTCCACATTCCCCACAGATTCCATCGTTCCATATGCAACACAGGGTGAGAGACGCGGAGTAATAACCTGCCTCGCTTACATTTTCTCAAGAAGCGCTGCTTGTGGAGAATTGTGACGGCATTGGTGGCCAGCAGCCCAGCCTTGAAGAGCTTCCACAGCAGGTTAAAGCCAAACAACATTGAGCACGCACCGTCCTCTCCACTTCCTCCGTGCTCCTCTGTCGCCCTCGCTCCTGTAGGGGGAGCGCAAGGGTGGATTGTGGATTGGGTTGTTGCGGCACATAAGCCTGTCTTGGGGGGGCATCTCAGATAGTATTGCTGTCCCGCACTCCCCCTAAAATTATCCTGCGCGAGCCTCTATTGTTTCGTGCTGGCACCGCTGTCTCCTCTCACGCACGTACTGTACAGCAGCTGCAGCCTATAATAGCAGTCCCACCAACACGCGCTCGGTTGCTCTCTCCGGCAGCACCACCCAGCGTTAATCAGACATCAGCACAGGCTCGGCGGGAACGCCTGTAGCGTTGCAGTCTCTGGCAAAGTGGTGTGCTCTCTTGGGCTGCAGCAGCAGCCGTTCACCGCCAAAAAGGAGGGTGAGTTCAACATGAACGGGCGAATTCCTCTCAAGCTCTCAAAGCTCTTCTCCTTCTCTCTATCATAGAAACAGCAGTAGCAGTCAGAAGAACATGACCGTTTCGAGAGCAGATGTGCGGCCAGCGCCAGCATCAGTCGTCCTCCAGGCGTGTGCTTGCGAATCATAATATCAATGAGCGTGGTGTGGGAGGCAGCTAATAGAGCACACAAGGGAAGGAAAACAAAAAAAGCGATGAGAACCAAATCATGCACACCTACTTCAGCTCCCAAGATCCGCCGACCAGAGCTTCGGGTGTGCCTGCTAGTTGGTGTGGTATCCACTGCTGCTGCTGTAGTCTAGATGGTTTCTTCTAGGCCAACGAGTGTGTCGGTGTTTAGTTCGCCGTATTGCAATTACTGACCCCTCGGTTACCCCGTATAGCTGACGGTCTCTTCGTCTCAGGAACGCCAAGAGGAAAAAAAATTAAGGAAAACAAAAAATGAATGTGCTCCGTGTCACTTTGGCCTGTGTGCATCAGTAAGTATTCCTTGCTGCGGCGCCTGCTGTGCTCAGCAGAGAGCCTTCTTGCGAGTCGACTGCTGCAATTCAAACTCCGCGCTTGGTCTTTTCCACGAAAGTAGTGTCAGAATGAAATAACGACAATCCGCAGCATAAGCAGCTCTCAACCTCCGGGGGACAAGCGAGAGTTGAATTATCCCGATGAAGCCGGCCGGCATGGTCGTGTAGTGCCGCTTCTACTAGGTCCTGCTGTACCTCGTGTATGTTCTGCTTCGAACGATTGTGGGTTCGAATTCCTCTCGGGAGTGAGCGACTTTGCTGTTGTGTTGGAAAGCGAATTCGTGAGCAATGTATGTACACAGCAGTGACAGGTGACAGGGAGAGACTGCTGGGCCCTTTGTGTGAAAAAATCGTAACAACAATCGAGAGGCACGCCAGCACGCGTAAAGTGGAACAATAACAAAAAACAGAATCCGTATCCATACTTTGCCTTTGGCTCCTCCTGTGCTCCTGTGTGACCCCGGCTGCCCGGATGATCTGTTCTGCGTACAAGTACATTCATACGTGCGTCACCATGCGGCCAAAATGTATTCCGAAATGTGTCGCCTGGCGTCGGCGTAGACGGGATGTCATCACCAACACACCCACAGGGAATTGGCACCAGCTCGACACGGTGGGCAGGCAGCCGGTGAAGGCCTTGCGACGCCGTCTCCTCGTTGTACTATTATAGATAGTAGTACAAGTCTGCCACCCTCACGCTACGGCTGGCTGTCCTGCGCGCTCTCTGTTGTTTGACGAGGAGAACTGCAAGGTACCACGCTTGCACCTGTAGGTACGGAGTGATAATTTGGGTGTGTCTTCAACGGCCGCAGATAGTTGTGTGGGATGTGTCGACACGTGCGACGGATCCACACTTGACTCACCGCTGCGCCGACAGCAGCAAAGTGTGCGTGTGTGCGTCACAACCACGCTAAATCTGTGTGTGTATGCATCACGTACGACGAGGGCACACACGGGGTCATTTGCCAGATCTTTGTAGAGCGTTATTTAGAACAGATCTTCAGAGAGCGTTATTTAGAACAAGGGTGGAGGAGGGTATCCCTCGCTGACCTTCTTGCATGGCGACCGTAAAGCCAATCTGCATGATCCCGTCGGGAGAAGCGCTCGTGTGCGGCCATCTGTGCTGAGCCCGTGCCACTATGTTCGTACGTATGCGTACAACGTAGTACTTCAACCACACACATCACACGGCCGAAAAGACTTCCAGAGAGGGTTCAATCACACCCACACCCCGCGCACAATAACTCACGAGGTGTCTGTTTTCTCACTTGTGATGACGCCGCATCACCTCAGCGGTGAGAAGGAATTCCCCGTTTTTCCTTCGACGAACATTTGGGGACGATGTAAGGGATGCCCGCGCACCCGTCGGGCGCACCCGACGCAATAGTCCCACCGTTAGAGAGACCTCCAACATATATAGAAGTACCAAACTAATTTCTTGAGCCTGTTAAAACGCAGGGGGTATGTCGCTATATGCTGCTCCTCAGGGAATCAAACCAGCACAGGCAGTGTCCGCCAACGCGATGGATTCATTGCTAGTCTATCCCGGACACTCATCTGTGGATAGAGATGAAATTGGTTGTGTTTTGTTTTGTTTATGTAGAAAAATTAAACATAAAGGATCGGTTCCACTCAACAGCGGCCTACAAGGCCTTGCCCAAGCACCGTCAGCCTAGCACTTGCCCCAAATGCCAACTTGGCATGTATCCCAAGCAAAAGCGTGTCCAAGCAACCAACTTCCTGGCAACTTCCACGAAACCCATATCTGTGCCCCCCCCCCCCCCCCCAGGACACCAGCCCCGACACGATGGGCTACCGACGAGGGCATTCGCGGACGGGATCGGATGAAGAAGGGGGGGGTGGTCGGAGACGGCAAGGGGGGCGGCCGGGACGCCGCCGCCGCCGCCGCCGCCGCCACCGGCCCGAACGGAGGGGCGAGCGGGGCGGAAGACAGCGACTCGTCGAGGGGGTCGACCAGGCCAAAGAGGAGGAGGAGGCAGCCGTGGCTCCGGGGGCTCTTCACTGTTTTCCTGGTCGTGGAGGCGTTGGTGCTGTACGCCGTGAACGAGTACAGCCCGGTGTACGACTTCGAGGTCTTGTCGGTCACGACCACTGCCGAGGACGGCACGACTACGGTGCGTTTGCTTTTTTGTTGTTGCCGCGGGGGGAGGGGGAGGAGACCGGGAATTCTGTGTGTGTGTGTGTGTGCGTGTGCGTTTTCTTTGTGAGTAGCATTGCCGGCTGACCAATGAAAAGACGCCAGTCTTTTTTTTTGCAGCCGAACAAGCTGTATGTATGTATGTAGTCAAAATAGTTTTTTTGTGTGTGTTTCTTTTGATAGCATCGACCGCGCTAACCGGCTGGTCACTGAAACGGCTCGAGTGCCAGCGGGTACATTTCTGGTCCCTGGAAATACGTTGTGGTACTTTATTGCCCTCAAAAATTCACTCTGGCTTCTGAGATTTGACCTGCTGACCCTCTCCTCGTTTGGTACTTATTGATACACGTTGTGGTGCTGTGGTGCTGTAGTAGTAGTAGCACTTTGGGGGGGGGGTTATCCTGTCCACTTTGTTTGTCTTGTTTGGCCTCCTACTGCCGGGTGCGTTGACGGAACGCTAATGCTCGTACCCAGCACCAAAAGGGTCTTGCTCACTGCTCACTTCCTGTTTGTAGCCGCCGGTGTTTTGCTCCAAGAGCTGTTTGACTTCCCAACGTCGGCGATTCTTAACGGCATTGCCGTCACCAATCTCTGTATCTTCGTCGCGTTGATGTGTTCTGCTGTCGGTCTTGCTCCTTCTCCTCTGCTGCTGCCGCTCGCTGCTGGTGTTGCTGGTGTTGCTGGTGCTGCTGCTGGTGCGGGGAAAAGGTGGTAGGCGACAACCCTGACCTGTCGTTTCCGCTGTCGCTCGCGGGGGAGAAGTGCGGGGTGTCGGACATGGCGGCGTGCGTGACGGAGGAGCCTACTCCTGCAGCGCTGTCGACGGTGTGCTGCACGGAACTGCTGGACCCGGACAGCGCGGGGCCCGACGAGTTGATATCGTCGGTTGTGGCGTTCTGCTACGTTGTCGTTATTCCGGGTGAGCTGAGGGACTCTTTGAGAGGGCAAATGTGGGGGAGAGCGCAGGGGGGGGGGGGGGGGGGGGTACTCATAGTCGTGCATGCCGTTAGTCGTTTGACCATTGACCTCGCATCCCTACAAAGCCGGGACGGAGCACGCCGGGTTCTCACCGGACCAGGCTCTCACATCACCAAGCGCGAAGCGCCGTGAGGTATTTGGCGAGTCGCATGAAGAGTGAGCTGCATCCTGCTAAGGGTGTTCGGCATCTTGTGCTTACTTCCTTGCGTACGGATGACAGCTACGTATGACTTAATTTATTTTCTGGTGCTTTCACTTCCAGAGACAGTAGTAAGCACTGTGTAACTGCCTCGAGGAAGCTTGACCATTTTAACACAACGTGGTGCGATCATCCCCCGTTGCGCGGAGTGAGGTTTCTCGACCCCGCACAACATGATCTACTCGACCACCATTATGGTACCGCCAAAAAAAAAAACGAGGTAAAAAAAAAAAACGGTAACCTGGTTGCCGAGTTCACGAAGTGAATTGGCTTGTTTTACAACGTCGTTGCCAAGCGACGAAAACCCAATCCCGATGGCAAACACCGAGTGGGGGGCTTGTTTTACAACGTCGTTGCCAAGCGACGAAAACCCAAACCCCGATGGCAAACACCGCGGGGGGCGGGGGGGGGCGTACTTTTCATGTTTTGCACGCCTTGGCTGTCAGACCATTTTGACCACCGTCCTTGAGAGGATGGAGCGCTTGTTCCCACAGGAACGTCTGTCTGGGGGAGGGGATTTGGGCTTGATACATCATGGTGCCGGCGAAGCGCGGGGAGCGGGGGGGGGGGGGGGGGAAGGGGGCCCCCCAAAAAAAAAAATGTAGGGCGAAAAGGGGGGCGCGCCCCCAAGAAGGGGTTTCGGGGGGGAACAAAGTCCTGGCCCTAAAATAAAAAAAAAAAATCTTGGGGCAAAAAAAATTTTTTTAAACCCGGCCCGCAAGGGGG